AAATTATGTAATCCCACCTCCTCTAAATTTTTAAGCCGGTGGAAACGAGAGATTTTCGTTTACTTAATTATATCTTCAACATGCTCCTCGTATAAGAACCGATTCTTTTTTATAACTTGGTGGTGAGATTTGTGACTAAAACCTTTGTAAGCACTAGCGCCATATAAAATTACGGCGATTTCATATGAAAGTTTAAACTATTAGACATAAAACACTTTTATTTAGTTAATTGTGTCTTCGACATGCCTATGACACAGTAAAATTTCTTTTTGATAATGGATGAAGACCCTGTCTGCTATGTGTCATACTGAATTATGTGACCATCTCACTTAAGAGGCGAACCACCCTTCGTCAAAATATTACGCTGCGTATATAGATAAAATATTAAGTTTTAGAGGTATGTAATTTATATGGAACACAGTTTGTCGGGGAAATGTTTTCACTTCCTTCAAGTTTAAATACCCTCGGAGAAATTCCTGACTTCGCCTTTGTCTCACGTGGAAGTTTAAATCGTAAGAGAAAACACACTTATATTTATTTAATCATGTCTTCAATATGGTGTTCTTGAAAACACAACTTTCTTGATTCTCTGCTATATCAGGAATTATTGTTTTGTAATCATGATTTTGCTCTTGTTTTTTTTTTTCTTTTTCTAATTTTAATTTTTATGGCTGAGCATTGAGCAGGTGATGTATTCATGTTTTCTCTTGGCAACACACTAATAATGCATGTGACACAACCAGAAATGGTAAGAGAGATCACTACTTGCACATCCCTTGACTTGGGTAAGCCAACCTATCAAGCTAAAGAGAGGGGTTCTTTGCTAGGCAATGGAATCGTAACTTCAAATGGACCTTTTTGGGCACATCAAAGAAAGATTCTTGCTCCTGAGTTATATTTGGAAAAAGTTAAGGTAAAAAGTATTTAAATTATGTGGATACATAGTAGTGGTGGCAAAATGGATACAAAAAATAGTTATTTATCCATATTATCCACTAAAAATGGGTTGAATAATGAATTTTTTAAAACAGGTCAAATATAGATAAGAACCGTATTATCCAATTAGAAAATGGATAACTAATGGATTTAACTTTTACATTTATAAAGACTCAAATTAGGGGTTCCTCAAGTTTGAGATACTAGTAATTCTCCCAAAATTGATCATATTCAAAAGACCATGGATAATATGATTTTGCCGGTTAACTCATTTTCTATCCGTATTAAATTTGGATCGGGTTAGATAATTTATCCGTTTTTGTATTACCCGTGTTGACCCGCCTATAATCGACCCGTCCCGCCCGTTTGTCACCCATAATTCATAGTGTAACGGCAATTTTAACACGTTGTAGCAGGCGATTCAACTCTATATTTGTCGACGAAGTTATTGATATTCATGCCATTTTGAGTTGTGCAGGGAATGATAAATTTAATACAAGATTCTGCATTAACATTGTTGAGTTCATGGAATAATCAAGTAGAAGCTCAAGGTGAGAATGCTGATATCAAAATTGATCCGGACATGAGAAGTTTTTCTGGAGATGTAATTTCTAAAGCATGTTTTGGAAGCAATTTTTCCAAAGGAGAAGAGATCTTTTTTAAGCTCAGAGCTCTCCAGGAAGCTGCTTCCAAAAGAGTCCTCTCTATTGGAATTCCAGGCATAAGGTTCACTTCTCTATAACAGTTTCGCTATATAATATCCATTCCTATAAAAGCCAAACTTTTTATGCAATTTTCATGCTATATGTTATAATATATGTTCTATATAACAACATTTCGCTATAACAACCAAAAAAATCCAAAACAAATAAGACTGTTATAGAGAGACTGACCGTACATACAACTACACCTCAAGTTAAAGCAAGTTGAGGTCATACGAATCTTCATTGGTAGTGCCGCTCCATTTAAGTTATTTCAATTCAAATTTTCATATGTATAGTGATGATATTGAAAATTTAAGGCATGAACAATTTTTATAGCATTAGAGGTCACAAATGGACGGGTTAAGTCAAACTTGGGCAAGCCAAAACATGTCAAATTAATAAGTTGGTCATGATCCACTCTATTCAATATTTTCTTAGATCAAGATGGATAAAACATGAGTCATAACCCAACCCGCCCAACAACCTCCGCTCTCTTTATATTTGCTTTTTGAAGAAAAATGTGTTAGGTTTTGACCCCGGGGTTAAACTAATCCGTTTTGACCCAATAGTTTGACTAGTTATTTCTGATCAACTCCTGGGTGAAATTAACAACCAGTATGTATTTTAAACTTGGACGAATTCAGCGGGTAATTAAAAATGAATTGATTTTGCCACATCTATATAAATTGACTAGGAGATCACGGGTTCGAGATGTAGAAACAACCTCTTGCAGAAATACAGGGTAAGACTGTGTAAAATAGACTCTTGTAATCCGGCCCTTCCCTGGACCCAGCGCATAGCGGGGACTTATTGCCTTTTTTTATTTTTATTTTAATTCAAGCTCCTTTCTTGGATGGAACAGGTATCTTCCTACCAAGAACAACAGGAAGACATGGGCCTTAGAGAAAGAAATCAAAGAATTAATCTTGAAAATAGTGAAGGAAAGAAGGGAAGCTGGATCCGAAAAAGATTTACTACAAATGGTTATTGAAGGAGCCAGAGACAGTAAACTAATTAGCAATGATACATTAATTGATCATTTCATAGTTGATAACTGCAAAAACATTTACTTGGCTGGTTATGAGACCACTGCTGTTGCAGCTACATGGTGTCTCATGCTTTTAGCTGCAAATCCAAATTGGCAACAACGTATTCGTGCTGAGGTCCTACAAATTTGTAAGGGTCGAATTCCTGATGCTGACATGATTCGAAAGATGAAACAGGTATTTACGTAGACGGATTTAAGATTTGAAGTTTATGAATTTCTTAATCTCAAATTAATATATAATAATATCTGAGTTCATAATAAAATATTTAATTCATAAATATATGGGGTGTGGGGGGAATTCATGTGAACCATAAATTACGTGGTAAAATCCGCCCCTAGCTACTTATAAGAGTTAGTTTCATAAATGATCATTGAATTAAAAGTTCTTTGCAAAAAAAATTCAAAACTATATTTCGTAATTAAAGAAATACATCAATGGTAACTATATTACGCATAAAATAAAATATTTAGAAATTTATCAATCCGGTAACAAAACTTATAAATGGCATTTTCGGCTCCAGGTTGACGAATTTTTGGCGATTTCATTTTATGCAAAATATAGGAACAATTGTTGTTTTTTTTGTGGTTAATATATTTGGTTTTGTGACGTTTCTGCAATAGAATTTCAGTTCATGACTATTTATGTACCCGTAAAATTAACCTGTCTTAATTACTCCAAAACCTATTTTTATCCTTCTAATTAATGTTGAAATTAAATAAGCCGCATTATTATTGATTAACACATGTTAGTATGTAACTTGATTTTGCAGTTAACAATGGCTATTACCGAATCATTGCGTCTTTATCCACCAGTAGCAGTGGTATCAAGGGAAGCCTTAAAGGAAATTAAATTTGGAGGTATTAATGTGCCTAAGGGGGTCAATCTTTGGACAATAGTGACAAAATTACACACTGATCCAAAAATATGGGGAACAGATTCTTACAAATTTAATCCAGAAAGATTTGCAAATGGAATTAAAGGTGCATGTAAATTTCCACATGTTTATATGCCTTTTGGTGTTGGACCAAGGGTGTGTTTGGGACAAAATTTGGCTATGATGGAACTTAAAATACTCATTTCATTAATTTTGACCAAATTTTCTTTCTCTCTTTCCCCAAAGTATATTCACTCTCCGGCTCTGAATTTGGTTATTGAGCCTGGACATGGTGTGTATCTATCAGTGAGGAAGTTGTGATCAAATGGAGCTCGGATGGGATTGAGGGCTAGCTCACTTGGTGAGCTTTCTGTCTTTTACAGTTGAGGTGGAGGGTTCAAAACCTCATCAGTAGCTTAAAATTCTCTTCACCTTCCCGATGTAATAATTTTTTTTATTTAAAAAAATGGGACCTCGGATATTAATTTTTCATTAGTTTTTTGTTGTGTGTATTTATGTAACAATGTAGCTATGGTATAAGTTTGGTGCAAAATAAAAAAAGAATATTGAGTTTTAATCTTATGTGATTCTACATATTTTTACATTTTTTCGATAAATAAATGCAAGTCACATCAATTTTATCACAGTATACTAAAGAACTCGATCATGGCAGTCTTTCGTAATGCTAGTAAATACATGTATCGAGTTAAATGTAAAACTGGATAACTTGCTTTCCTCTTTTAATGTTTTTTTATGGCGATGGTGTCAGAGACAGGTTTTCTCTCTCAATATTCTTGGTATATGATCAAATCAATTTTATCACGTTAAAAGATCAGTTTTAAATGCCAGCGGGTAGTTGATTCCTAGCCGGGAATTAAGTTTAATTAGTATAATAAAGCATATTTGGTAAAACATTTATATATTTCCTAATACGTTGTTATTAGATTAGCTACCAAATATATAAACAATGAATTTCTCAATATTTCGGCATTATCCAGCCATGTAGAGATTGTTGTAAGCATCATCAAATAATCAATTACAATCACCAATTTAGACATTTAAGCTATAATACATAAGTTTACATAAGAGATTGTTCACCGGATAGGGTAAATTTTTCAAGGCAGCCCGGTATACAAAGCAGCGACGTAGCCACATAGAATGAAGGTATACTACCCTTCATCAGAAAATTACACTAAGTATATAGAAAATTATATTATGAATGTAAGTTAAAGATTATTTTAATTTGTAATAGATATATATTGAACGTTGAACACCCTTTGCAAAATTCTCGACTTCAACATTGGTACAAAGCATCCCGCATTCTTGCAAGGACCAGGGAAGGGCCGCATCCCTAGGGGCGTGATGGGATAAGTTTTTACCTAACAAAATTGTAATCTTCGATTTTTCCCTTCAAATAAGTATTACAATTCTAGGAAAGAGGGAGTTCACAGAGTCTTGCGGAAAAGATGGATTACGTATGTTATCGTGCGATTTTGAAGCACCCTGTGGCTCTCAGTTAGTTAGGCTCTTTGAATGATTCAGCAACAGTCTAATAACAAGAGTTGAATAGCTAACCTGTTACACTGTTGTATGGTAGATAGAGAAAGAACAACAAACGAAGGAGAAAACCGAATTAAATCTTCAGTACTTTTCATCGCAACAAAAGCGATCGGCAGATCTAAAACTGTTATAGTAAAGTAGAACGAACAAAAACACATAATATCAAAAAAGGGGCAAATCAATCAAGATTCACGGACCCAATTGTTGTCACTTCGTACACAGTAAGAATGATTGTTTTTACTTTTCTGTATGGGTACTTGGAGTTTGAATTTATGATAATTTTTGGTGGTTCAACTGAATACTATTGCTTATGTACATATAATTAGATCACACTTATTCTAGACTCATTGACTTTAAATCTTGATTCACCTTACTTGGATACTTTACATGCATGTCCATTGACCTTTTTTTTCTATGGGTACTTTGCTTGGAGTTTTGAATCTACAACAGCTTTTGTGGGTTCAACTAAACATCATTGTTTTTAATTAGTTCAACGTATATGTCATATGTTAAAAAAAAAAAGTGTACATATGATTAGTCATTTAAACTCACCAACTTTAAATTTTGGATTCGATTTACTTGGATAACCGTGCATGCATATTTGCATGCATGTCCATTGAACTTTTTTTTTTCTTGTCGTTATTTCGCGGAGGAAATGGTTTCAGAATCTTATATGGAGAATAAGCAAAAGGCCGTTGCTCGCAATGATTCTTCTTCGTCATCATCCTCAACAGATGAAAATGACTTTAGACACCCTGTACACAAGAAGTTTCACCTCTTTGGCCGTCATAAATCTCTTCACGCTGCTCTAGGTGGTGGCAAACGTACGTTTCCGAAACTTGTATTCTTGTTAGATCATGTCCATTATTTAGTGTTTAATTTAAATGGCCCCTTAAAGTTTGAGAGTACAGTCTGTTTTTCTCCTATTTATATTATCTTGAGCTAGCAGATATGATCCTTCAAGTTTAATTTGTCAACTTACACGCTTTTTTTGCTAAACTGACGAACATAATAACCACCTCGGCTACTATACTTATAAGAAGAATTAACTCAAATAGCGCCCCACCCAACCGCTTAAACTAAAAATAGCCGGTGGATGTATAATATATGCGTAGTTCATGTATTATATGTGTATAATCGTGTATAATTAATGTATAATCTGTTTATATGGCTAAATAAAGTAAACGGTGAATATAGCTATTTGTGTAAAGATCCCTACTTATAATGGAAAAAACAATGTGTCTTTCACGTAACTAGAGGAGATTTAAAGTGCTCAATTTTTGGAAACTTAAAGGATCATATGTGCTCCAAGTACTATAATATAAGGACGAAAATACACATGTCACCAAACTTAAGGGACCATTCGGGCTTTAAACTCTTCATTAATAGGTAACTGACTAACTAATACTGTTTCTGAAATTGAATGGGTCAGTGGCTGATGTTTTACTGTGGAGGAACAAGCAGATATCAGGAGGATTGTTTGCTGGTGCCACTGTCATATGGTTTCTGTTCGAGTGGATTGGTTATCATTTGCTCACTTTTATTTGCCATTCTCTCATAGTTTCCTTGGCCATCTTGTTCTTTTGGTCCAATCTCTCCCTCTTTGTTAACAAGTTAGTTCACTTCCCTTTTGCCTAATTACAACTACAGTCAGATCTCTCTATAACATCCCTATATAACAACACTTCACTATAAAAGCCAAGCTTTTTCGGAATCAATTTTCATGTTATGTTATAATATATATTCTCTATAACAGCACTTCGCTATAACAATAAAAAATATTCAGAACAAACAAAGTTGTTATAGAGAGGTTTGACTGTATCACTTTGTATATATTATGCTGCTACTTTCAGTTTTTCAATTGCCTCCCAATTAACGAGTTTAAGTTAAATACATCGTCAAAGAAAGAACTTTTTACACTATCAGGTCACCGTTAGGTCTNCACTGCCCGAACTACCAATCGCCCCACTATCTGCTAGTCTGGTTCGACTCGAACTTCTGTCATGTCAAGCTTCCTGACCTGCTTTGTACCAGCCGGTATTTTGTGTACTTCGGGGCGCTGACTAGCCCTGCTCAACGCCCTACACCCTTCTCTTGAGCGCTTCATTGAGCATTTCTCTTTCCTATCCCGTCCTTACGCTACGCTATCCATAAGGTTGACCTAGCCCTCTCTTCTCTCTCTTTGTCCACGCGAAGATTCCATTCCTTTCCTTTCCTAGCCTATTCAATGTGGTCATGTATGTAATAGAATTCAATGGGAAGACCTCCTAGTTGGACCCAGACTGCGATGGTAGTGAATGTGGCCTCAGCTCCCACAAATGCAGGCTCCCAAAGCCTTAGACTGAGATAGTACCCCCGTTGTAGCAGATAACCTGCCTTATTTTCAAGATTAAAAATTCCCGTGGCATGCCTATGTCAATGGCACGAAGTCGGTCGTGGCAGGTCACTATGGCATGAGCCATCACGACTACGTGAAATTTTGGTTCGTGACAACTGCCGCCGACGTCATTGTCTCCAGCGAAGCTGGTTGGCCTGCGGCCCCCATATTCAGTCGTAATTGAGCAGGATCCGGAGCCAGAGCCCTAGGATGTAGCCGCTACAAAGGGTAGGGGCAGGGGCAAGGCTAGATCCCAACCTACAGCACGTGCAGTGGCACCTAGAGCTACTCACGCTTGTGCTAGAGCAGCGTTAGTCAAGCCCTACATTTTAATGAGGTTTACTTGTACATATTCTTTGAGTGACCTGATAGTATAAATATAATTATTTACATTGATGATGTATATAACTTAAGAGTCTTATGCTTAAATATTACAGCAAAACTAAATTTCGTGGCAGGAGTTTAATAGAGTTTCCAAAGATTGAATTGCCAGAGGAACTGTGGACGCAAGTGGCTCTCCTGCTGAGGGATCAATTTACCTGTGCATTTGGTATTTTTCGGGAAGTAGCATCTGGAAATGATTTGAAGAAGTTTCTTTATGTACCAATTTCCCACACCCTGAGCTTTGTTAATTTTACCTTACTCTTGAAGTTTCATTCTATTGTGACAAGTTCATATGATTATATGTCCATCTGCAGGCAATTTTTGGCTTGTGGATTATTTCCATTGTTGGAAGGTGGTTCAATCTTCTGACCCTTGTATACATCAGTAAGTTCTCTATACACTTTCATTTGATGTTTTTGTTGGTTGCAGATGCCTAACTTATGAAATTTCCTCTCTGGTGTGCGGAAATATATGTTGCTCGGGCTCTCCAAAAATGTCACCGGGTGCGTATTGGATTCTCCAAAAATAGTGTATTTTTAGAGGATCCAACACTGATGCGGCAGCATTATGGAAAGTCCGTGCAACATAGGTGGAAATGCAGTGGTTTGGTCATTGTATTACCTGTTTTTCTTATCTTTCAATATGGGCATCTCCATGTTGAGTTTTTACTTGCACTAACTATTAGGTCACCTAAAAAATAAGTACATGTAGCCGTCCTATAATAAGTGAGATTAATAAACTGGAAAATAAGGCATGTAACTTGCTATAACATGTTAAAATATAGTGTTAAAAGTATATAGGTTAATAGCCTATTTGGCCAAGCTTCTTGAATGCTGAAAATAATTGTTTTTTAAAATATTTTTTTCAAAGTTGAAGTGTTTGGCCAAGATTTTAGAAGAAAAAAAAGTAATTTTGAGTAGAAGCAGAAGCAGTTTTGGAGAAGCAGAAAAAAATAAATTCTCCCCAATAACACTTTTTCTGAAATGCACTTTTGAGAAAAATACACTTAGAAGCACTTTTTAAAAACTTGGTCAAACACTAATTACTGCTCAGAAGTGCTTTTTAAATTATTTAGCTAAACACAAATTGCTTCTCACTAAAAGTATTTTTGAGAAAAGCACTTTAAAAAAAGGCCAAATACATAGAGAGCCCCTTAAAGTTGGCTCCAAATTCTATTTTGACACCTCAACTTAAATTGTTTCCTATTAAACACTTAATCCCAACATAAATTGTGCCAATTAGGCCATCGTCTAACCACTCGTAGACAAAAGTAACAGCGTGAAATCAAACGCGATGACGTGGCAAAAAAACAAATCAAATAACAACACATGTATTTAACCAGAGGCGGATGTAGTATATAACGTACGGGTTCAACTGAACCCATAACTTTCGACGCGGAGTAAAAAATTGTATGTAAAAATTCATTAAAATTGCAAAAGTAGTAGATCTGAACCCATAACTTTCGACGCGGAGTAAAAAATTGTATGTAAAAATTCATTAAAATTGCAAAAGTAGTAGATCTGAACCCATAACTTTAAAAATATAATGGGTTCAATGTTATAAATTTTAAAATTGAACCCATAGGAATTAAATCCTGGATCCGCCTCTGTATTTAACCCAAATAATATATTAACAATGTACCCCCAAAACTTTTTTCCTTCTCCACCTTGCCTCTCCCATCGTCTTCTTCTATAAATGAACCTCTCCCAATCATCACTCTGCCCCTTTCTCTGTCAACTCTCTCTCACCAGTAAACTCTCTCTTTTAACCATTTTTTCTATTATTTGTCTAAGAGAACGACAGTAGGTGAAGTTCCACACCGGTGTCGTTGACCCCTCTGGTTCCTCGGGCGAAAGCCCATCACTGTCATTTGTTTTAAAGCCATGATCATACTCCATTAATGGAGTCTTACTGACTACTTTTCCGGTGGAACTTCCCAAGAACCTTTTTTGTCCCAAAATAAGACGCCAACCCTTGAAGAAATTTATCCTCTATTTCAATTCTTTATCCTCTGTTATTTTTATTTTTTCCTTTTCAATTTCATCGGGGTATTATTATGTTGGTGTTTTGATTTCTTCTTTAATGAGAAATTTATAAATAACCAACTTGAAATTGCGAATTTGGGTGTATCTAGTCTGGAATTGTTTGAAGAAGCTGTGGAGTTTTGATATTATGATGTGAAGTTTTGTTTCTAATGGTGGAGAGGTGGTGGAGTTCGAAGTGATTTTCACAGTGATAGTTCGGTGGGAGATGGAAGTGCTTATGCTGTGAAAGTATATGCGGAGGAATTGGCCAAAACGGTGGAGGTGAGAATGAGGTGGTGATGAAGACAGTGGCTATGGAGGTGGCGTGGTGGGGTGATATCTCCAGAGAAGCCAGATAAAGGAGATGGAAGAAAAATTATAGCCTAATCTTCAATTGATACTCAATATTTTGTATCCACGCTCTCAAAAAGAAGTGTGATACACTCACTTTGCCACCTCAGCATTTGTGTCTAATAGGCACAGTTTATGTTAAGATTAAATGTTTAATAGAAAACAGACTTAGTTAAGGGGTTAACATAGAATTTGGAACCAACTTTAAGGGGCCGTCTATATATTTGGCCTTAAAAAAAACACTTCTTAAAATAAGCTGATTTTAGAAGCTTGGCCAAACAGGCTATAAATCCGGTTGCTGAAAGCATTTTTATCCCTCTGTGTTCCAATCTATAATTAGCCTAAAAAGTTCCTCTCGAAGAGCAGTAATCTTTCGCATTTTTAGTATTTCTAATGATAGATAACAGATTCAACTGTCATCTCACATTAGGCAGTTGAAATCATCTCTGCAATTTTTACATCATTTGTCAATAGTGATTTACCAAGATAACCAATTGTTCATTTTTTGGACAGTATTTGTCGTGCTGTTGACTGTACCATTTTTCTATGAGAAGTATGATGATCAAGTAGATGCCTATGGAGAAATGGCAATAAAAGAGCTCAGAAGACAATACAGTCAATTAGATGAGAAAGTTCTTCAGAAACTACCAATTCCTTTCCTTAAAGACATTAAACAGGACTGATGAAACTCTTCTCTCAGGCAGATATTGCAGCCTTCAACTTATTTTTGTATTGGGGAGAGGTGATGAGGCAAGACATAGCGCGACTTCAGCTTTCCGAGGACATGGCTCTTGATAGTAAGGTGTGGAGGTCGAGCATTAGGGTTTAAATTTAGGAGGTAGTTGAGCGTTTCTCTACTTCGTATTGGGAGTCCGATAGTGTTTTGTCTTAGACTGCTAGTGGTTCATGTGGTGTTCATACTATTTTTCCGTTTTCATAGTACCCCATTGTTACTGGTTATTGTTATTGCTTTTTCCATCTATTTTCTGGTTCTTAGGATGCTGGTATTGTCTTTCTGGTCTCTGTTGTTGTTACTACTGATCTATTATCTACTTTCGTCTTCTTGAGCCGATGGTCTATCGGAAACAACCCCTCTACTCCTCCGGGGTAAGGTTTGCGTACACAATACTCTCCCCAAACACCGCTTGTGGGATTTTACTGGGTTGTTGTTGTTGTTGTTGTAAGCAGTCCTAAATGTTATAACACTGAGTTTCATCTTGCAATATTGGCTAATTTATCCACCCGTTCTGTTCCTTTCTTTTACACGTTTGTTGGTTGAGTTTCACTTCTATACACTGATAGAGTAAAAAAATTGTTACACTAACATATTCGACTGTTGGCAATTTCCATGAGAACAACAATATTTGATATAATATGCAGTAGTCAACAACTAAATGCATGAAACAGATCAAAGGTGACCAACCAAAATAAGCAGAGTAGAACTGCAAGTTAAAATGGAATGGCATACAGGAAATTGGGATTGAATAATTGGCGGAACTAACAAAAATCTCTTAATTCACATAAAAAAATTCAGAACAAACAAGAAAGAACCTTCAAAATGAATGTTCGGTTGCTAGACAAGCTCGATGTATGCCATTGGTGCATTATCTCCTCGCCTTGGTAGAGTTCTTATTATCCTAGTGTATCCTCCGTTCCTCTCCCCATATCTTTCTGGGACTTCAGCAAACAACGCGTGCACTATCTGCTTCTCATAGATGAATCCAAGGGCTTGCCTTCTCTTATGAAGAGAGCCATCCTTTGCCATTGTGATCATTTTGTCAACATATTTTCTAACTGCCCTGGCCCTCGCTTTAGTGGTCTTTATACGCCCGTGCTTGAGGAGTTGAGTCGTGAGACCTCTCAAAAGTGCCCGACGCTGGTCAGGAGGTCTATTCAGTTTGGGTACCTTCCTTCCGTGTCTCATGGCAAAAACTCGGCCGCCATTATCAATCACGGTGAATGAATGCTCAAAACTTGTTGAATCTACAATATAAATTTAAAGTCTGCTAATGATTGAGCAATACAACTTTAAGTCCAAGAATTGAAATAGTAGAATCAACTTTGTTTTATTAAAGTAAGAACAGAATCAACATAATAAGCAATTTTCCAAGTTCAACTGTAACCAGAATTTTCTCTATACATTCACATTATCTTAATTTTACAAATGAGTGCTGAGACATTTTCTAACCTCAGACATCTTTTGCTGGATCTCAACATGATGTCCACCTAGTCTCAATATATTGTGTTATCAGTTCGCTCAAACCACCCTCTTCTATAATACTCCCAATTATCACAAGATCCACTATTTGCAGACAATTAGTAGCACAATTGGAATTGATACAACAGACATACATCACACTCTATGCAAATTTGATCAAAGATCCTAAAACAAAAAATTAATTAAATCAACATTACAAGGAAAGGCACAAACATGCTGCAATTTCCACAGGGAAAAGGTGTTCACAGACTTCTTGACAAAATTGGGCATGGTCTAGACCAACTAAAAAGCACCTAGACGTCAAAATTGACTGGGAGACAAGGAGTGTGGATAAACGAAAATAGTAATAGCAGTAGATAAGAGAGCTAGGTGTGAACTTTGAAAAGGAAACAACCGTAGTCTTGTCCACTTCCATCTTAAGCGATGTTCTATCATCAAGATTTCTATAACAATGGTGGCCAGCTAGCACACATCTCAACAAATCCACCGATACCTACTACCTCCCACCAACATAGGTACCGACCGGTTCATAGTTTTATCATCCTTACCTAACTCAAAATCCATAAAACATTTTTACCAATGTTACACTACCTAGTTCATAGATGTTATACATAAATTCCACATTTGAATTGTTTTATACTTAAACACCCCCTTTCCCAGAATCATCTAGATTAACATTTCGCAAGAACAAGAACTCGAGCAGTAGAAATGCATTATCAGCTGAACTACAAGATAAGAGGCTAATCAGGAGTTCTCTTATCAATATCACGCAATTATTATGAAAAACAAAATGACAATTAAAATTTAAAACCATCTTTTATGCAAATTAGTACCATTCCATAGCTCGAATGCACAAAGGGGGGTGCTTTCCAACTCCACACAAAATGAAAAGATGCAAACTTTTGGGCATTTACATGCCATAAAAGAAGATAGATTGAGTTTCTTACACGAAAAATATACAAACTTTTGTGCATTCACATGCCATGGGAGCAAACAAACAGACAATGCCGCAATTTATTGATTGCCACTAGAATAAAACTCAAAAAAAATTATAGTAAAGGGTAAAAATGGGACTTAAAAACTTGGATATATATCTGAATAATTGTGATAAACAACGCACCTGGAGAAGAAAGGGACAAGAGTTGATGGAGGGGAGCAAGACCAACAAAGGAGTGAAGAAGTCTAGAACTGGACTTGGGCTTGCAAATCCTGAGACGAGAAGGGGATGGCCCACAAGAGAATCGAAGTGAAGAGTTCGAAATTGGTTGAATTGAAGGGAGTGAAGATTTCAGACAAGACATGCTCCAAGTCGTAGAAGCTGAAGCCATATCCGAGGTTTGCTTTCTTGGTAACTGGTTATGTGAGTTGTGAGGTGAGTTTATCTGAATAGATAAGTGAATTTTGCTGCCTATTTTTTCTTCTGCCCCTATAACTTTTGCTTCTCTCATTTTTGACTTGATTGAATTTTCTTTTTCTTCTTTTTTTTGAATGAATGCGGATGCGGATGTAAGTTATTTACACCGACAATTTGTTATTTTTTACTGTAAAAAAATATTTGAAAATATATTTTTCTCAAAAGTGCTTTCAAAAAAATACTTTTTGAGAGAAAAAATATATTTTTTCCTTTCAAAAGATTGGCCAAATAGGCTATAAATCATTAGGTCACATGGATGGTTTTCCACACCATTGTTGCAATCTGATTTGGTTGCTTGGATTATTATTATTTCACTGGAGCTGTCAAAACGGGCTAGCCTAGCCCGACCCAATTCAAGCCTCGTAGGATTTTAAATTTGGTGAGCTAGGGTGGGTTGGCCCACCATCTAAATGGGCCTTAAATGGCTAGCCCAACCCAGCCCTAAGAGGGTCGCAGCTAGGGCGGACCGACCCTTCAATTTTTTGAGAAAAAATATTTCTTCAAATATTTAAATATTTCTTTGTGACATAGTGTCCTAATCGTATGTGTACAGATGAAAAACGATGTCACACGTGGAATCTTACTGAGCGCATGACACGTGGAACAATGGTGAAGTGACAACTCGCATACTCAATTAGTGAAATTAAGAATGCAAGGAAGATACGGATCAAACACCCACGAGATAGTAAAGAACAGATTACCGAGCCTAAACAACTATCAAAGAAGAGACGCGGACGGAATGAATCAAGGCCAAAAAGGAGAAAAGATTCATGAACCAATAATAAATAAGGAAAGGGAATCAGAATCGTTATAAGACATTTATAGCTACGAACGCGTCAGTTATGGTTATCAATAATAACGAGCAATCAATACCATTAATGCTCATAATGAATTTATTATAAATAGGAAAAACGTTATGATTAGACATTCCTATATAATGATAGAGAATCTCGCTTGTAAAGACAAGTTCCAAGCATTACTAAAATATACTTACAATTTCTTATTTTACCAAAGCCTTCTACTTAATTTGAGGGATCAACTGTCATTCCTTATTTCTTTTTGCTAATTTATATTGTTATTTTTATTTCTCTTTTCAAACGGATTGATGGGGAAGTAAAGTATCATTTCGTTATCAGTAACCTGATTTCTTCTAAATATAGGCTTTGACTGTAAATCCTATTTTTTGGTTAAATAAATTGGTTCCGTTACTGGGAACCTGATAATATTTTTACTTCCCAAATTCTTCTTTCTCACAACCAGTTATGTCAACTAGTAAAGACAATAACCAACTTAACCTACAAGAGGGAACATCACCACATCACTCTCCAACAGAATCCCCTCGACAGTCCCGTAAAGGATCACCTGAGAGATCCACATCACACGCTAATGATCAACAAAGGGATGAACAAATCATAGAATAAGATGTTTTAAAGCAATTTATTGCAGAGCACACGAGCAATGATCTTCAAGCCTTTGTTAGGGCATTGCCGAACGCGCCACAAACTCCTCCACAAGCCAATACGACGACTTTAGAAAATCCACGCTCGGGGCTCGATAACTATGGTGGTGGAGGAGTTCCCAATGAATCTCGCGATGGAAGGTCATGTACGCCTAATAACTCAGATTTACAAAGTTTGGTACTAACTTTGCAGAAACAATTGAAAGAGCAGAACAGTCGTATAGAGCAAATACCTGGCGTACATCCCGTAATAAAAGGTGTGGATGCTGATAAGTATTCACAGCAACCTTGGAAGCCAAGTGCGGCTTCTATGCCAATTCCTAAAAAGTTCAAAACTTCGTTTACATTGGCGTGAAGGGCAATGACTTAACCAAGCAGGAAATCGAATCAGTTTTTGTTAAAATTTTGGAGAAACACTCACAAAAGGGGCATTAACATGCTATTCTCTTTTACCTGAAAACTCTATTGATTCTTTTGCTGAGCTTGCGAATTCATTCATAAAAGCACATTCGGGAGCTCAGAAGGTTGCAAAAAGGATGGAAGACATCTTTAAGGTAAAACAAGGAGACATAAAATTACTCAGGGAATTTGTGGATAGATTCCAACGAGAAAGGATTATGCTACCACGAGTACCTAATAATTTGGCAGCTAAGGCGTTCACGAGCAATTTAAACGAGAAAAATTCAGAAGCTACGAAGAGACTGAAGGAAAGTTTGCGAGAGTTTCCTGCTACAACATGGAATGATGTGTATAACAGGTACAACACTAAGTTGCGGATAGAAGAAGATACGACGGTTACACAGCCAAGGGTTGATGAAAGAGCAAGTTCGAGACGTTTAGAATCTAAAAAATGTCCGAGAAAAGTAGGTATGAATCTTACATGGGACCTGCAGGATGGGATTCACGGTCTAAATAAGAAACCATACGATCTGACTCCAGATCAAGGCACAAA